TTCATACGATTAAGCGTCTCAGACAGCTTTTGTTGGGGAAGCCCTACTCACTGCCTTCTTGCGGCGGCGTGTTCCCACCAAAATGAGAGTATAAAAGAGTAACATCCAGGGTTATAAAGAGGTCGGTGAAACACTGCCAGTTCACCTAGGGGATTTGATTAAAAACCCTGAATCCAAACCAACCAAGAACAGACGTACGAACCACACACATACCTCCCTGGTCGTGCTATAGAGGTGTATTTGGCACCTTGGACGTTTGACCCCGTCCAAAGGGTGCATGATCCGTATGATCCGGCACCCAATCGATTAAGGTTTCCGCACTGCGCCCCGCTGCCTTACGGGTCCGGCTTTGGTTAGCCGAAGGATCCGGTTGTGGATTCCTCGAGAAAATGCACCTGCTCTGGCCTGGGCAACCTAGCAGTATCGTGCCCTCGAGCAAATCGTGGGTTTTTTCTTTTTATAAAGATTACTGCATCATGATTTGTTTGGCAGTAGTCTGGATTCAGAAGGGTGCGAAAGACAATTGGCCCTGGAAACAGTGGTAGGCTACCCGTGAGAAAGCCAAACGTTGTCTAGGAAATGGCTTTCCGCAGTTTGTGTATCAAATTACATAGGATGAGATTTGATGCATTCTGCACTCATGACAATTAGCGGCTTGACTGGAAGAATGAGACCTGAGTAGGTCTCTACAAATATTTCGCCTAACCACACTGAACTCTTCTGCCGCAAAGCCCAGGTTTTCATCCGCATCTATACCTTATTGATAGCAGTATACGAATGAGAGTAGCGGGTAATTCAATGCAAATAATCAAGTAGAGCACAATACTAAAGAAATAAGAATAAGCCACGAACATATGATGACTGGGGACATAAGTGCATCGCATCGATGATAACATTAAGGGAGCTGACGAACTGGTTCAGATTAAAAAATATGACGCTCGAAATTTTCAAAAAGGTAATCGAAAAAGAGCGACGAATGGAAGGACGAAATTAAGTTTGCGACCTGGTGGTAGTTATCTCAAACTATGCAGAGTCCGTTAATAGTCACAAACATATTCTCATTTTTCAACATACTAATAGTGCATCCGGCTTTTACTAAAGAAACGCTGACCATATAACCGCTTGCGCATTAAGTTGTATGTTTAGAGTATAAATGAGCAGCTACACGTAAAACATGATGAGGTAAACATCAAGATGGAAAACACAACCACAGAAGCGCACCTTATGCAACAAGCAAAGGTTCTTGAGGCTTGCCTTTATCAATAAAATGTTTGTAAAAGTAAGGTGTGAGAATCTGCAACCTAACGGATCAGCACTAAAGAACCGGGAAAAACAAACGCTTGAACACCGTAGTGGAAACCATATTTTTGCATGACCAACTATGTACTGAATTAGTCAGGTCGTTCGCGCACAAAAACGTGAGAAAACAGATACAAACCGTACATACCCTGTTTTAATTTCGACAGCATCGCTTTCTCGGCGTCCACTGAGGCACTTTTGTTTAACAAAAGTCGTTTGGCAAGTTCCTTCGTGTAGAACGCTTCGAAAATGTCCTTGCCTTCGATGTAGCGAAATAGTAGCATGGCCTGTGGTAACAAAGGAGAAGCGCAGCCAAGAAAGTTGTGAGAAGCTTATACAAATGAAGTGTATAACGGCAAGGAACAGCAGTAGGTAATGTAGTTATAACTACAAATGAATGAAGTCAATGAGGAAAACCCCATAATCCAAGGGTATACTGTCCCTGGGGTGGCGAAAGAATCATTCGATCTTGTTGGTGCTGAAGAGAAAAAAGGGAAAAGGAGTGTTCCATACTTGTGCCGTTCTTGGGATAAAAGATGATTGAAAGTTATGGGTCCAAAGTCAGAGGACAGTCGCTTAGAATGGGCGGCTGGCCGCTTGTGCACGGGACCTATGAAGACGAGAGAGGCAAGTTCGATTGAGCGAAAATCAAGATAGTGCTGGTAGAACAGGCAGGAAAAGATAACATCTGTTCGAGGGTGAGTTAGTGACTGCAAATTACATGATAGGAACGAGTCACTGATAGGGGCCTTACGTTGAGACGAACCAAGAAGAGGTGGATGTAGACGAAGCTCCACCCCACACAACCGGAATATTCCAAAGCAGCCCAAATCTGAGCATCACAAAGTGAGAAAAGTCGGACCTGGAACATAAAGCTGATATTGGGAGAGTCAAATATACAATGACCAAGAAGGAGAAGTGAAGGATAGTAATAATAAGTTGCATAAATATGTGGAACAAAGAAAGTTGGAGTTGAAATACCATGTTTGGGGGGGGGGGGTTCNTCCTTTACACACACACACACACACACACATATATATATATATATATATATATAAACTACTGGAAAAAATTTCCCCGGGAGCACATGACCGATTTCGCGATTCTTGTCTTTCGTCAGATATGCGTATCCGATAATATTTTATCATTTGATTACTTGTATCCACGGAGTGTATTTTCGTCCCAATAATCCATCTACAATACCGGGTACTTCTCGATGGACAACTCTTTTAGAGTCAGTCCATTGAGAAGTGGGTAGCGTGCTTGCGTTCTGCCTGTAGGTTGCGGGTTTGATCCCCAGTTGGGTCGAGGGAATCGCACCGCTGATGAAACCCAACCAGGTCGAAACAGCTATACAGTGCTTCCTAGTCTTTCAGTTCACGTCTCATTTGTCTTATACATGACGGATTTTTACTTTGAAACTGTCACATGTTCAAGGCGTTTCGGAAATAGCAGCCAGTCTATTATAACCATCAGGAATTTCGGCTGCACATAAAACAACGGCGACAATGGAGACTAACCTTGAACCCATTTATCACCATCTAAGGAAACACCAGTGACATATAACTGCCGCAGCCAAAACCAGTTCAGAACCTGTTCTGATAAGCTTGTCTTATTTTTGGGTCGGATAAAGGAAAGGGTACAACCAAGCCACTGACTTCGGTTTGATGCCATATCTTGCAGTGACTCTAGACAACGACAATCTGAACCTTTGGGGCCACAGTCGGGGAGCAGGGAAGCTCCAACAGATGGCAGATATGACCATTCTCTTCAACCCTCTACGATACGTCATAACTTGCCCACTTCGCTGATTCTCCCAGTCCCAACCGATATCTGCAAATAGTGCACGGTATGGCAGACGTTGTTCGGGTATTTGTAGGACATGTCCCATCCACCTCAAACGATACAGTGAAACGGTTTTGATCAACGCAAGACTATCTAGCCTTAACACATGTCGTTTGATCTCATCGTTATTCATGCGATGCTTCTACCATACACGCCCTTTCATTGAAAGTGACATGTTGCTCCCGAGCCAGAGATGCCGCAGATTACCAAACGCTAACCTAACTTTGATTACGCATTAAGAGATCACCTCGCCCACACATCCACCAGCCGCTTTACAATTCCAAAGGAAGACAAATCTTTCGAACACTTCCAGAGAGTAATTACCCAACGAAAGTGCGAGGAAACAGGTTGATGGAAACCTTGCACCTTGAAGGTACGAATGACATGCCGTAACCGTAACCTCAACTACCAAACGATTCGGCGTGTTTTCAATCACCAGGGTGTTGTCACCCAGAAAGACAATATCATTGGTATAACCTAGGTCTACAACTGTCCCCAGGAAGAAGCTCGACGCAAACGTTCGTTTCGTTGAGTAACGCCTTTTGCAGAACACGGTCTATGTCAACTGGAGATAAACGGATGGATGGGGCAAACCTGGTGACAGGAAATGAGGGTGAGTTCACCATAGACCCTAACCTTCACCGAGGTCTGACAGTAGAGTGCTTATGAAGCAGGATATACTTCTCGCGTACTCCGTATCTCAGCAAACAGTCCCACAGCTCAAGGCGATTGATGGAGCCGAATGCCGTTCGAATGCTCAAAAACACGACAGTTTATCGTCTGTGTGGCGGCGTTCTACCAGATGACGAAGGGTGAAGATTCGATCTATGCAACCACGGCATGCACGGAACTCGGGCTGAATTTCGCGAATTGATTTTTCACAACAAAAAAATAAGAGAGATCAGAAATTAGGAAGATACTGAGGGAAGGGGAGTGGTTACTTCTAATGCTGGAGCTGGAAGATAAAGAAAATGAAGAAAAGTGTGGAGTGGTACCATTGACAAAAGTATGAATAGGACTAGGCGTTGAGGAAAGATTATTCACGAAAATCAGGAAGTATGGCGAAAAGCAGAGCCTCGAGGGGGCACCGACAATCACAACTATGGAATAAGAAGTGGAAATAACTTGTTCTTTAAGACAGAAATTCCGAGGGAAAACAAAACGTGGATAATTAAGCCAGCAGACTTGTATGTCAGACACGAGCGAAAGCGTTTTGTTTAAACCAACATCAAAAGGGTTACGTGCTGTTAACTGTGTGCGTGAATAAATCCCCTGAAGACCACCGGTCGGTCGATGGGAATGAAAACCTCACTGGGCATCGCCAAACAGTTTGCTCGAAGTGACCGCGGAGTCGATCGACAATGACTGATTCTATTAACTTTGAGATAACTGATGTAAGAGAGACAGTGATGGGATGACATTCATTGAGGTCGAGGGGTAATCGCGTTTGGGAATGCGAAACATCTCCCAACTGGTTGAGAATACCCCAGAAGTGAGTGATAGACAGAGAAAGAGATGCAGAGAGCCAATTCTAGAACGTATATTCCGAGGGCGAGCAGGCAAATCCCAACGGGTCCCGCTGACTGGTGTTTGGTGATTATGGAATTTGTCCTTCTGGTGGAAATGAGCAGTAGGAAAAGATGGTCTGATGTAAGGTATGAGGAGGGGTTGAATAGGTGAACTGAGAAAGATGGAGTCGATAGCAGACTGAGAGACAAATATACATGTTGTTTCGCGCGAATATACCTCTGTACCCCCAAGGAACACTTTCAGAAGACGGATGTTCGGTGTCGTGCACCACAAAAAGATAATCGAACTAACACAGATAAACAACTTTTGTGCTTTGGGTGGAACAGCAAATTGAAAATGGCAAGAAGTGTCTGAAGTGAAGTCGCTGCATTAGTGCATGCAGCAAATTAAAGTAGACGTCTGTCCAAGTATGTGGTCATGGTGATAAAACCGGGGGAAACGTTCATTTAAGAATGACAAATATATACGACGGAGAAGATAAAGCACTTGAAACACTAAAACTGCGAAGACGTTAAAATTGACATGCTACAACCAAAACTGCAATTTCAGGTGTGTGAGTTGAGTTACAGCCATACTCTGCTAGACGACTTTGGAGTAGAAAACAATGCAACTGAACATGGGAATCGAAAAAAGCAGTTATATTATATACTCACCTTGTCCATCAGACGGTCCAGCTCCTCCTCCGTTTGGGCCTTATTCCCAGACCGTAAATGTGAATCCAGATACTTGGCCAAAAACTCAGCTGGTTTGTTCGGACGTTGATTCACAAACTCCTCGTAACCTTCTTGTACGACGCGAACAAATGTAGCATCATTTTCAAAACAGGCGTTAATCAGTTCAGACAAATTGTCTCGATAATCAAGAAGGTTCTGGATCATGGCGCGGTCTTTTTCAGGATCTTGAGTCGGATTGTCGACTATTTCACGGCCAACTTGAATCACATATAGACGAAAATGAGCACGTAATTTGTCTATGCCATTAGGTACACGGGAAAGTAGGGAATAGAACAGGCGAAGCTGACTGAGTTCTTTAGCCTTCAAAGAGGCTACTAGTCCGTTGTCTAACAAATGATCCAAAGTTCTAGTCAACAGTTCAGAGACGAGAGTGAAAATTAACGGCTGTCTGGTGGAACTCGGCTCCAGATAGGCAATTGATCGATCCTCCTCCTCAACGATGCGTTTATCCACATGAATGAGATAATCTGGGACACTCAGTTGACGACACAATGTGTCAGCTTCTTGACTATAAAAGTGTTGACTTTGCTGGAGAAATTCTGACAGGAACACCGGCTGGTAAAGCTGGAGGAAGAATAAGGTGATGAGATTACAGTACCACAAGAGCCAATGGGGACCAGAGTATACAACTCGTCTCGTTAAACGATGGAAACACATTAATCGTCGACAATGCTCGACCACTGGCATAACGGTATCGTGCCAACAAACACTCAAAGACCAAAATAAATCCAAGATAGAATTAGTGTGCGATGGCTTTATGGCTTTCCGACATAAACCGGAGGGGGAAAGAAATAAACCCTCAGTCACAAGAAGCTATGCTTGGATGAAGATATATTTTGGATTAAGGGCTTGCGAGAATGACAAACAAAAGGCCCCGGTAGGGTGTGACTTTGAACTATATGACAGTAGAGGAATCGAAAACTGTAAATAAGGGACGGCAAGGTCAATTTACGCTGCTGGTGTAATATTTATGACCTAAACAGCACCGCACAAATTAGTTCAAGGTTCAGGAGTAAATGAACTACTAAAATGAACTTCCAAGTAGACGCCAGCGACAGAAAAGAGTGTTGACGCACAAGACCATGGTAGGTTGTTCAGAGGTAGTAACACTTCACCCGTGTAAAAACTCCCGCTAACATTGACTGGTCGATGGTATCGAAGATAGGCATTGTGAGTGCAGACAGCCCTTAGGAACCGGAGTTTATGCTTTATTTCGTTTCCATCGTAGGTATTCTCTGGTGGCGGTGATGGCAATCGAGCACTGCTAATCAACTTATTATCCTGGAGGTTGTGTTACAACCCCACCACCACCGTCTCACTTTTCCCTTTTCTGTGTGCCATAGGACAGTCTTTCAACTGTGCGCCACGTATTCCTGAAAACTGTCATTGCACTCATTTATTCAATGAAACAGACGTAAATAAAGGCAATAGGCTGTGAAGCAGAGATTTTTTGAGAAGCACTGAACTGGATGTATTGATCTATCCATGATTTTTCAATGCACTGGACGCCGAGATGAACCATCTGATTCGAGACCGGAAACGACATTTTGTTTTACTAAGATGACCTTAGTGAAACTTTTCGGAAGACTCTACCTTGTTCAAAAAACGCATTCTACATTTATTCATTTAACATAGTTGAGCGAAAAAAGGTAAGAATTATTACTGGAGTAAACGTCTGGGAGTTCGACATAGTCGAAAAATATATCCACGAAAAAATGACGTTGATTTTAAAGGTGCTAATAGGACAGGAATGAATAGGTAATATTATCCGAAGTGCCCGGCTTTGTTTGTGAGGATCAGCGAAGCTAATCAGTCAGAGCAGCAAAAATAAGGAACCACAAAGGAATACACTGCTATCAAATACATAACGTGAGAATAGATCCTGAAAGAGTTTAATCGAAGTTAAATGACGGATCCTGTAAATTCGAAGAAATCTGTCCAAGGCCAAAGCACTTCAGGAGGCATCCGCTAGCTGAAATAAAGAATGTATGGAAAACTGCCTTATATATATCGTACAGCGAAATACAGTGAACTGTATACGGTGGACAGGGATTGGGCCCATTTTGAAGGAGGAGAAAGTGAATCTTTATGATCAACGCACAAAGTACACAATCGAACTGTGCATACACAAGTTTTAAAGCATTCTGGTATCATAAGAAATGAAAACAGGATGGCCGTCGCTGAGATCGAACCTCAGGCTCCAGGGACCGAAGAACGCCAGTGACAACTCATCAATGAGTTAAATATGGATCAGAATGCGCAAACTTTAGCGGTGAATTATATGAATTTACAATGAAATCCTCCAGCATACCTTGAGATCTACAAGCATGCGGACTACCGTTCGCAGAAGCTGTCGATCAATAGCTTCACCACACCGTTCCCGACGGATTTCTTCCAGCAACTGTTTGATGAGTCGTCCTTTGACGTGATCATTGGTGATGACCACATCACGGAAAAGATTGAGAGCCAGATCCCTGAACAGGAAACAAATGTGGAAAGCTGTTGAATTACGTTGTGTGCTATGCAATCCCTAGACAGACATGGTACAGCATTTCGTGTGTATTTCCTCGACTACATTAATGCATTTAATTGAGTAGAGAGGGACGGACTTTTGTCTTTACTCCATGGTGCTGAATTGTCTAATACTACCGTCTGTAATCCAAGACTATTTTACCGGTAGAAAGCAATTCATGAAATTTCTTGGAAAAATTCAGAGTCCTCACCGTTCGATACAAGGGTTCTCCCCTTTTTTATCTTTCTGTTCAAGACCTAACAAATGATCCAGATGATCTTCTTATCAAGTATGCTGATGATGTCACTATGGGTTTAGAATTCCAAAGTGATTTCGATTTCTTGCATCTTCAAACCAGATTATCTGCCCCAAGTTTATGGTCTTCGTATTCCAAATTATCCATAATGACTTAAATGCAAGGGTGTCCCCTTCCCAATATCCAAAAGAGAACGGTTACATTATTTTGAAAGTAATTGCTCTGTTGACAACCAGTCTGTTCCTCTGGTACGTTCTCTACAATACCCCGGTTTTGCTATCTGCCAAGATCTCACGCGGATTTCACACTTAAACTCTACTTTTAAAAATATTCGACGATTGCGTTTCCTTATATCCCACTGCGATCTTCTGTTGTCACTCATCTTCTGTACTGCTCCTGTTTAAACTGTCGATCTTATAGTTGACGCTATTCTGCGCCAGTCTGCTGAAATTATTTCACGCACAACCAGTATTCTGTATTTAAACTTGTTCAACTTTGTCGCACGTAGGCACATGATGGGCTTCCTCTGTGTGCAACGTTCACGGAGGCAGATGATAGATGAAGGATTGGTCTAACTGAGACCGGGTATAAAAATCTGAACCAGGAAACTGAGTCACATAGGTCATGTTAGGCTTTCCTATTCAAGACCCTACGATTAGTTTAATTAATTTTTAGAGATAATGAGTAATACGGTTGCGTCGTAAACAGTAGTAGCCGTGCATCAACTGAATTTCCGTAGAAATTTAACTCAAATGCATTCCGCACTTTGCTTAGTACAATTTTACTTCACAAAGTAATAGTACAATGAATTACAGTTGGTGGTATGTTGTTTGCAAGTACCCATCAACAGTAGTGGAAAGCAAATAGAAATCATTCTGTAGAAACAATGAAGAAATACACGATAAAACAAACCAGATTGCTTCTTCTCTTCCGGATTTAGTCCAAAATAGGCAGTCAAGTGACTGACAGCAATAGCATTTAAATGTAACTTTTTACCAAGTATACCTGTTTGCAAAGATACCACCACTATTAGATGGTATCTGCTTACCAAGATATTCTGCATCATTTTAATCCACTTCATCTGTTATATTTTATACTTTATCCACTTTCTATTGTCTTGTTTGATGTGTATGCATTGTGCAGTGTTCCTAAATTGGTGAATTCCGCCCATCAATCCGATGTACGGTTTTTCATTACAAATGTTATTACCAGTGTACGCGTTTGTTTGCCCTAGGACCTAGTGTAATCATCACATATTCTAGCTTCGGGTTATTGGATCGCCCCCGCCCTATACACACCAGTACGGTTAACGGTTATGGTTTTGGTCAACGAGTTTGACTTTCTTGGAACCCCCGTGGAAAGTCAGTTTCAGTTTGAACAACCATTAACCATGCACTTTCGCGCACCGGTTTTGGTTGCTGTCTTTTGGCTCCCCATTGGGATGAAGAATAGGAGAAGAAAGGAAAGTTAAAAGTGGATTCGCAAAGAAAATGGAGAAGTTCAGTGGTCTAAGGTTGGAAAGAAATTGAGGAGATGCACGAACCTCACTGTTTGCGACACCCAGCCATATCACTCAGTGTCTCTAACCATCATCACGATCATCCCGAGGTCCCCAGCCAGGGAGCCTAACAGGACCTATGTGACCCAGTTTCGACCATCACCGAGGTCCCCAGCCACCCTGCCATATCACTCAGTGTAGCTAACCAACGGTGACCATCATCCCGAGATCCCCAGCCAGGGAGCCTAACGGGGCCTATGTGACTTAGTCTCCTGGTTAGGGTTTTCAAACCCTCATGCCAGATCTTAGCTTGACCGCCCTTTGTTTTTTTCCAATCGCTACCAGCCTTGGCAAACATCGTTCGCCGTGGCAACCTATCTGGTGACATGCGTAGCACATGTCCCAACCAGCGTAATCTATGGAGGTCGACCAATTGCTCCAGTGGGCGACCGTATTTACCCAAAAATCTGCCCCTAACCTCAGCATTGTTCATCCGGCTACCCCACCAGATTCGTGCAATGCTGCGTAGACAGCGGTGTTCAAACACCGACAGTCTCGCTTAACCTTGTTTTCGTAATGACCATGCGACTGCACTGTAGAGCCTCCGAAAGCCTCATTATGTTTGGGGTTTGTATCTCATATGTGACTAGTGACCGTTTGTTTATACTCCGCGAAATGCTCCTATGTGATCAAACGTCTCAAATAGCTTCTGCTGATGAAGCTCTGCTCATTGCCTTCTCGTAGGCAAGGTCCTTTCCCACCAAAGTGAGAGGACGAAAAGCCAATATCTGAGGCTATAACCGGTTCGGTGAACGAAAGGCAGTTTGACCTCGGCCAAAGAGCGTATGATCCAACGAACCGGATACCGGCCCCCAACGGTCTGCGGAATCTGAGCTCCGTCCTGTTTTTTTTTCAAGTCCGTAGTAGATTTATGCACCCGGATGGGTGACTTTTCAGCATTTACACCACATTTGTGGATTCAAATTTACAAAATATTACATAATGAAACTGAAAGCAGTAGATTGCATCTGTCAATGAAGCAAGCATTTGCGCAACTCTGTGGAAATTTTCTCCTTGTCAATAAGTTTTGTTGTCTTGCAGATCTGGCTTTCTAGTCATCACGACGAGACTGCACCTTGCCATGATGTGACGGCTTGTGCATCTCTCTGACGCAACGAGCTACACAGGACGGTTTGTCAAGCCGAAGATCTTATCATACCTGGAAGGTCAAAGGGTAGAGGTCGGACGAAGTTCAGTCCCCTGGTCCACCAGGTTGGGGTTTCGACTAGAATTTGCGTTTCAGTCGGTAAAAAGCGCTGGAAGAACAATTGATCCAAGTAAATGGGCCTCCACTTCGTTTCAACCGTAGCCTTGGGGCTAGATTCTCGTCAGAACTAAAGGCTTTGGTTGAGAACCCTCATTGTTCTCCTGCTTAGTGGCTGGACACCCTAGCAGTACCCGTCCATCAAACTCCAATGCATGTGCATCGCGAGTTTGGCAGCAATCAGTGAAATTCGCTTCTCTGTATTTCGCTGTACGATGATGATGGCGACCCCGAAGTTATCCCCCTACTTCGGTCGGGGTAACCGGGAGGTAACATGCCCATCGCGACATCCGGCTGTCTGTGAAGGGTCGAGTGTACGCTGCAGCAGTTCGGCCAGTTCTGCTATATCAAGCAGAAACTTGGTCATTAAGAAAACAGGACAAAGATAGACTGTCGGTGATTGAACATCGCTGTCTACGCAGCATCGCACGAATCTGGTGGGGTAGCCGGACGAGCAATGCTGAGATCAGGCGAAAAGTTTTAGGCAACCGCGGTCGCCCACTGGAGCGAATGGTCGACATTGATAGATTACGCTGGTTGGGGCACATGTTACGCATGTCACCACATACGTTGTCATGGCGAGCGATGTTTGCCGAGGCAGGTAGTGGGTGGAAGAAAGCCAAGGGTGGTCAAGCTGAGACACTGAGTAGTGTTCGTGGTGGTGGTGTTCGTGCATCTTCTCAATTTCTCTGTATCATAAGTCCATTGAACTTTTCAATTCTCTGTTCCATACTACTTTCAACCTCTCCTGTCTTTCTCCTAATGTTTATCCAAATGGGCAGCCGAAAGATAGCAACCAAAACCGGCGCATGACAGTGCATGGTTAATGGTTGTACAAAATGAAACTCAAACTTAAACATGATCAAACAACCCATGAACACATTCTACAGATTTCTTTTTGTTGATAGGTTGTGACACATTTGCCAGTTCTCTGTAAATGAAATAAAAAACAACTGGCCGACCTGTTGTAGCATGCCCTCGACCCTTCAAAGGACATATATATACACATACAAATATATATATATATATATCATTTGAGATGACAGGCATTATTTAATAAAAGCAATCACTATTATAACTCTATTAGACAACATGCGTACTCAGATCAGGAAGTGGAGTTCATGATAATATTTACCCTGCCTCGAAGTAATTTAGCTTACCACAGATTAGGCCGTTTGCCATTTCTTAATTATGCTCAGGATCAATCTACGCGGCCACTACATTAGTCTACGTGAGAATTTACTGAGGTTAGCTTCAGATGCAGTCGTCAAAACAACGGGAAAAAGTCAGTAGCATTCGACAGGATTTCATGATGAAACCATGATACATGATAAGTGTATTCTACATACTAACTAAATCAAATTGTGCACACTGGATCCATCGGGTGAGTTCGATAACGACTTACCATATCTGTAGATGCTGTAGGTTCGACATAATCAATTGGCGATCCATAAAAAGGAATATGTTTCTGATCAGGAGCTACAAAGGATTAGAAATAAACTCTGCCTACCATCTTTTTGCAGTACATCTCCCAACAGTGAGATACTGACTTCAGTTGCATTCCTTCAGTGAAATCGAGGTGGTCAAGGAGTTAGCAGAAATACTCTGAAATAAATTACACAATACCCAAAGGAACCAACCGACACTGGGGACAATTGGAATAACTAGAGTACCCTTTATCCACTTTATCAATACAGAAAAAGATAAACGTTGCGAGATTTTACCATTTCGTTTGATCAATTCGATCACTAACTTAAAGCAAACAGGCATATATATGGCGCAAGTGGTTATCCAATTATAGTGAATGAACGTGTACAAGGATACGAAGATTATTAAATATAGAAGTGGACTAAGTGTTTTAGAAACTTTAGTACGTATCAGGTGGGGTGAAGCAATCGAAATTTTAGCGTCGCAGTTAAGTAAGAGTGGTTCAAACGACAAATTGAGATTAATTGTGTTTCCTGTTGCTATGAGGTGTACAGCAGATGACCCTGGACCACTTGACCATTAATTATTGACTGCGTTATATACTCGGTCATCATTTGCGACAGCTGGCAGTTTGTTCTGCCTATGTATGCGTCACCGCAACTGCAGGTGAACTGGTATACAGCATGCAGCCTCCGAAAGCCTCATTATGGTTGGGGTGGGTGTCTCAGATGTGACTAATGACCCTTTCCTTACAGCCTGCGAAATGCTCCTATAAGATCAAGCGTCTCAAATAGCTCCTGTTGAGGAAGCCCTACTCACTGTCTTAACGAGATGGAGCTCTTTTCCCACCAAAGTGAGAGGATGAAAAGCCAATATCTGAGGCTACAACTGGGTCAGTGAACCAAGGTAGTTCATCTAGCGTTTGATCCCGTAAAACTTCGTCGCATACGAAATATTGGAGAATACACTAAATGGTCTCCAGAATGTTGGTATTCATCATTATCATCGTACAACGAAATACAGGGAAGCGAACTTCACTGATCGCTGTCAAACTCTCAATGCAAATGAATTGGAGTTTGATGGACGCGTACTGGTAGGGTGTCCAGCCACAAACGTTCAAGTTCTGGAACTCCATTTGCACCCCAGCTCTGATGCCTGATGGCCAGGAATCAGCTTTGGTGGATTGTTTCTCCTACTTAGGTAGTTGCGCAGTAGCGTAGTCGAAGTAGTAAACACATGCGTTTCTAAGGCTCGAGCAGCTTATTACTTTTTATTTCAACACGTAACCATTTACAGAGAACTGGCAAATGTGCCACAATAAATGAAAAAAAAAATCTGAAGAATATGTTCATAGGTTGTGTGAGCATGTTACTTCCCGATTGCCCTGGTCGAGAAAGGGGGATAACCTCGGGGTTCCCATCCGAAGCCTTTGGCTAGAAAACCAGACCTGAAAGACAACAGCACGGAGCTGAGAGTCCGTAGTCCATTGGGGGCCGGTGTCCAGTTCATCGAATCATACGCCCTTTGGACGGGGTCAAACGTCCAAGGTGCTCAATCGAGCCGGTGACCACTTCCGCAATCAGGAAGATGTGTGTGTGGTTCGTACACATCCTCTTAGTTGGTTTGGAATCAGGGCTTTTGGCCAACTCCCCTAGGTGAGCTGCCAATAGTTCACCAACTAGGTTATAGCCCCGGATGTCGGCTTTTCGACCTCTCATTTTGGTGAGAACACACCTCCACCACGAGAAGGCAGTGGGTAGGGCTTCCTCAGCAGAGGCTATTTGAGACGTTTGGTCGTATGGGAACATTTCGTGAGGTGCAAGGCTGGGGTGACCAGCCGCAACTCGAAATATATACTCCCGAACAGACTGAGCCTTTGGGTTATGCGCGCACAAGTTTCTGATACATCTAATCCCCGCACCGCGCAATTGCTCTTCTACTTCTACATTGTATGCTTTATGTTTGTTCGCGTTCATGCGCCATAATTGAACTACCCTAAGTGCTGTATGTACCTGTTTAAATCTGTTACTGAGAAGCTGTATGCTACCGAGCGCGTCCCTAGGTCACGGACGAGAATGGCCGTCATCTCGCGGCTAACCGTGAATAAGATGGGCTTCGGCCTGCCGAATAAGCGGTCGCGGACGATCAGCGGCAGCGCTCGAGGATGTGGTGGGTTTACCCCTGGCAAGAGTTCTTCGCACAAAACACCACATATCTGTGGAAAGCGCTGTGACGTGGCGAGTGTGGCTCGCCACTAAATATGTCCATTGCTCCTTGTCGAGATCTATTGCCTGACAAGGTTTTCCAGTAGAGGCGAATGAACTGAAGACTGGCCACCGGCTCTTTGGAACATTACTGCTGCCTTGCAGTCCGCGCTTGGTTGCGCAAAGGCTAGAATGCATCCTCGAACATGGCCTACTCTGGATCGGGCGACCAAATAGTACAATAGCCCGCGACGCACACAACTATGAACCTTGTTCTTACGACTATGTACTCTGATGCTTTTTCATCCTGCAAAAAACATTCTACACCGCACACACCCTGTTTTTCTTCCAGCCTCCCCCCAGCTAATCTCTACCTAACCAACACTCCTTCATCTCTCTGGGGTGCTTTAGACGATCGTACTAACAGCAGTGCCTCGGGCGAAAATTCTGCCGCTGTTCGCTTTTCTCCTACCTCGATTAGCATCCAAGTCTCACCGAATCCTTCACTAGCTGAAGCCCTTCTTCGCCCTCGATGTCCCTCCAAATTAGCCACGTTTAATGTGCGTACTCTGATGCGTGTAGGAAAAAAGGCGTGTTTGGTTCGTACGCTAGAAACCCTAGCCATCAATGTGTTATATCCAAGAAACTCGCATTCAAAACTCCAGCTCCATTATCCGATTGACGTCCCCGTCAAACACATCAAAGAAATTTCACTTGCGACTCTCTGAGGACCCTGAGGCTGCGGCTTCCGGTCTGGCTGGCGTCGGCACGGCTCTCAGTAAGAGAGCTGAAGCCGGACTCGATTCCAGTTGACAGTAGGTTGTGCGCGGTGAGACCGAGAGGTTTGTGCAAGGTAAGCAGCCGTCGCCACGACAGACAGCCCAGATGCCGTCAAAGATGAATTTTCCACAATCTTCACGACCTTTTGCATAAAGCGACCCGGGCTGACATCACGATTTGAGCAGGAGATATGAATGCTAGAGTAGGCCGGTTGACTTCGAGTGACCTGGGAGGTCCTTTTGGACTAGATTCCTGTCGCTCGGAAAACGGCTGTTGGCTCTCTGTTCCGACCATCGCCTGTTCCTCGCCAGTACGAACTTCAGATGCTCCAACTGCCGGTACGCCACCTGGCGTCCGTCCTCCTCGAGTCAGCGACGGACACAGATCGACCACATCGCGATAAGCCACAAATGGCGGG